CGCTTGCATGTGGCTAGAGACAACTACACATAGATAATATTTCTGTAATATGAGGTGTATATACCCACTCAAATAGACGCAGTGTGACCTCGAAAATCACAAAAAAATTTGCATTGTTAAACAAAGCGGCTACTTTGAGTGCAGATAACTTCAAAATCTATGACCCATGGTCATGGTGTAATGCATTTGTGTGTTTGGCATGGAATGACCCAACTCTTAAAATTGTTTGTGATTTCCTATTACGTTGAAATATGTGTAGTTTTCAACATAGTATCTAGCCATGAGCTAAGTACCAAAGCTAAAATTTAGTTTATAGGTAGATCCAATGTATCTGATTAACTGGGGTAAATTTAAGAAAAGATTTTAACTTTCCACAAGACGATCCGTTGTTGAGAAACATTGGCGTTTTTCACTTTTATAGATCTGGTCTCAACTTTAAATATATGCCATTCAATTTTAATTGATTTGATCAGTCTGCGCTTGCATGTGGCTAGAGACAACTACACATAGATAATATTTCTGTAATATGAGGTGTATATACCCACTCAAATAGACGCAGTGTGACCTCGAAAATCACAAAAAAATTTGCATTGTTAAACAAAGCGGCTACTTTGAGTGCAGATAACTTCAAAAGGGAAGGGATAACTGTTAATCTAATATTTGTGAAATATGGCGAAAAATATGTTAGAATACCAAGTTTGACTCTGACAGCTATTACCAATCTCCTGTTATAAGCTTCCAAAGTTGAAGTAAATTGCGTTTGCACATCTTGAAGAACCACGCCCCATATTTTTGAGGAGTCAATATCTCGAAAACTACATATCCTATGAGGCTAATTTTTTTTTTTTTTTTTTTTTTGGTTTTTCATACAGTGGATCATTTTATGAAGTTTCATCAAAATCTGAGATGGTCATACAGGAATTTCTTTTTAATCTGGTTGATTTGACATGGAATGACCCTACAATAGGTCAAAGGTCATAATGTACCGTTTCCGGTAACTATTTGAATATTTTTTTCATTAGGACGAATATAAACATGAATCTTCTGAACAAGTTGCAATCAATTGTGAGTCTCTATGACCAGTAGTTACTGAGATATGACATTACAAGGTCAAAGGTCAAACTTTCAAAAACCTCATTTTCCGCCATTTTTTGATAAAAAGTTGTATTAACTACAAATAGGAACATGCATATTGTGAACAATTTGAGACCAAAATTTAAGTCTCTCTGACCAGTGGTTATCGAGATACAAGCGTCCAAATCAACAGGCGGCCATTTTGAAAAACGCCTCCAAACGGGACTTTTCCCCCAATATCTGGGAGGTATATAGGAGCTATATTTTATCTAAATTGGTCCATCTTGCCAAATCCATCGAGAAACAAAGGTATCCTAAAATTAGTCACGGATCTCATGAAAATGACTCTACTAATTTCTTTTTAAAGCACTGTTACACTCCTCATCATCTGGCGGTTTAAAGCTGCACGAAACTTAAACGAAACACTTATTAGGTGTTACTTTCTTGTGATTTTGCTTTCCCCAATCCGAGAAAGTATCGCGATCACATTTTAACTCCAGTGCATCATAAGATTCTGTGTAATTGTAGATAATACAATCATCTGCAAAGAGTTCAAAGTGCAATTATGTGTTCTTTCAAAGGTCATTTATGGGAATTACGAAAAACATTAGGCCTGTCACATTTCCCAAGTGGAGTCCCAAGATCGGATTCAGTGATTCATAATAACCATTTCACGCTAGAATTGGTGGTTGTTCTGCCAATTTGAAAACAATCGTTAGATGACAGGGGGCCAAGGAGTCCCCTCCTGGAAACTGATTGTTTTCTAGATTCTTGGAAATGCACTTTTCTGCAATCTGAGACCTCTATAAGTGGATACATTATCAATCTTTGTTCTTTCCTACATTAGAATGGCAAACTGATGACAATGATGATTTTGATGATGATGACGACGACGAAGAAGATGACGACAAAGAGGATAAAGATTATAAAGATAATGATGAGAACGACGATTATTATTATTATTATTATTATTATTATTATTATTATTATTATTCACACGTACTGTGTATTCAGTACATTTCCACGTCAGGTAGGGCAAAATTACACCTATAAATATTATTATTATTATTATTATTATTATTATTATTGTTATTATTATTATTATTAGTATTATTAGTATTATTATTATCATCATCATCATCATCATCATCATCATCATCATCATCATCATCATCATCATCATTATTATTATTATCATTATTATTATTATATTATTATTACATAAATTTATCACTTATTTACTTTTAAAGGTAATAACGTTAATTCATTATCATCAGTGACTGATTACCAAATAGCAGTATACATTCTTTGTGTCTTCATTCTGTTGATGTCTCGATTATTTGTCTTCTTCTGCAGGTAGACTCTATTTTGTAATAATAAAATTCAATTAGTTACAATATGTTTTATCATGGAACAGTAAAATTCCCTGGTTTTATCAACTTAAATGATAAGTTTATGTTGCTAATATGTCGGCATCGGCAGTGCCTAAAAACAATATTCTTTTTTAAGAGTATTTTTGTTTAGAGTTTTAGTCCAGCAAACTTTGGTTGGTTGCATTTTTTTTTGCTATATTTTTTAAAAATTGGATATGATGTAGAGTAGACATAGATAAATCAAAAAAGTATGTGCAACATTTTTTTTTTCATACGTAAGGGGGGTTGCCAGCCGTTTCAAAATGGCCGCCATTTTTTCCTAAAATTGTCACTAATATTGTAAATTTATGTCATTAAAATGCAGTATTTAATTGGAAATCCACTCATAACAATGACAGCAACAGTTAACTAAATATTGTACACATTTTTGAGCTATTACAATTTAAAATGGCTGCCATTTTCCATAATTTTAGCTTTTTAGCATACATACTGTACTAATATAATAATAACCAACCTTACAAAAACTGTGATAGAGCTAGTTATATGCAATTGCCATATGCTGTTATTATTATTACCATAATATATATATGATAAATATTGATATTTGATATATATATATATATATATGTGTGTGTGTGTATATATGTGTATATGTATATATATATATATATATAGGCCTATATACACATATATATTGAAAACATACTGG